GTCCATATTAAATCTCTTCAATATCTTTTCAACATAATTTAATTGATGGACAAAAATTTTATTTGATAAGTGCTCGATCTATTGACTAAGATAGAATTTCGTTACTCCAAGATCTTTCATCTCAAATCCTTTATTTAAACATTCAACTATCATTTCATGCTCTTTAGGTCTCGCAATGATGTTTATATCATCAACATATACTGCCATGATAGCAACATTGTGTTTTGACCTTTTGCTAAATACATATGGGCTAATAAGATTATTTTTATACCTCTTTTTTAAGAGATAGGCCCTTATGTGATTGTACTACATTCACCCTGATTGTTTAAGCCTATACAAAGACCATCTTAATTTTATTGAGAATATCTCTCGTAGCATTGAGTTGTATGCTTCTTGCATTTTAAGTCCAATAGAGACTTTTATATAAATGTTACTATCAAGTGATCTATATTGGTAAGCAGTTACAACATTTATTAGGCGCATTTGAAGGCCTTTAAAAATTATTAAACTTAATAAAAATCTAAATGTAATTGCATTCATCACAGGAGAATATGTTTCCTTATCATCAATGCTAAATATTTGTGCAAAGCCTTGAGCTGCAAGTCTAGTTTTATATCTTACAACCTCATTTCTCTCATTTCTTTTTCTAACAAACACCTATTTATAACCAACAAGCTTCACATTATTAGGTGTTTAGATAATTGGTCCAAAAACTTGGCATTTTTCTAATGATTTCAAATTTGCTTGAATTGCATCTTTCTATTTTGTCCAATCACTTCTTTGTCGACATTCTTTGATGGATTTTGGTTTAAGATCCCTATTTTCATTGACTACATCATTAGCAATTACATATGCAAAATACTGTCAATGATACTATCATTTCGATTCCAGTTTATCACAGTAGAAATATAATTCATTGAGATCTCATCATTATTTATAATTTTTGTATCTTCATTCTTTTAAAATACTTGAACCTTTCTAGATTATTCTTTAGGTGTAGTTTTTTATTGTTGTTTAAAGAACTCTTGTGTCTTTACAATTTTAGTGGAGCCAACATTTCACTTTTTGCTTTCTCTTCATTCTTTGATTTTTATTTTTGGAACTAACAAGTCTACTACAGTTTTTAGCGTATAGTATATTCATTTGCTAATGTCTTAGCATTGTTTTTAATAAGAATATTAATTCAAGTAGGAGCATTCCAAGTAGGAGCATTCCAAGTTGGGATGTGTGAACTACTTATCTTCTTTATATCAGTGAACACATTAGGTAATTGATTTGTAGCCTTTTGCAAATGAATACTTTTATAAATGTTTAGTTCACTTTGACCTATTCGATGGTCTAATGTTATAAATGTTTTTTCAACTTTTGTTCCTTTCTTCTTAAGTTGGGAACCAATTTTCGTAAAAATGGACAATCAACAAATCTTATTGTGAAAAGATTACTAGTCATTAATTTAAAATAATTAATTATAGATGATGATTTAAAACCAACATAAATTCCTAGTCTTTTTTGGTGACTCGTTTTAGTGTGCTGTGTAAGAGTAATAAGAACATATGCAACACAACCAAATATATTTAAATGGGATATATTTAACTCAATCCTAGAAACAAGTTGTAATGGTGAATGCGTCTAATAAGTAGTTGGCCTTGATTGAATTAATGTTGTAGCATGCAACATAGCATGACTCCAAGTAGAAGAGGGTAATCTTGATCTCATAAGCAACAATCTTGCAATCAATTGTAGACACTTAATAAGAGATTTAGCCATACCATTTTGTGTATGTGTATGAAGAACTAGTTGCTCAATATTAATCCTAATTGAAATACAATAATCATTAAAAGATTGGGATGCAATTCTCCTGAATTATCAAGTTGGATCCTCTTTATTATATGATCAAGAAATTGTGCTCTCAATTTATTATTTGTGCAAGAAGCCTTGCAAACGCAACATTGTGTGTAGATAATAAGCAAACATATGACCATCTTGTTGAAGCATCTATCAATACTATAACATATCGAAATGATCCATATGGTGAGTTTATGGGCCCACATATGTCACCTTGAATTTATTCCAAAAATGAGGAAAATCCATTTTCTATTTTAATTATAGAAGGCTTAGAAATTAATTTACCAAAGGAACACGTAACACATGAAAAATCACTCAATAATAGAACTTTTAAGTTTTGAATGGGTGTCCATATGAACTTCTATTATTCTTTGCATCATAATTGCACATGGATAACCAAGTCGATTATGCTAAGGGATGAAGGCATCTAAATTGACTAATTTTTGGCTAGTCACAACATTTGATTTTGTTGGATATATATATGTATAAAACAATCCAAAAGATAAAGTTAACATTTTCTCCAACATTTCCTTTTTTCTCAAATGCAAAAGTTATGATATGGAGGAACTCTATTCCATTTCTATCCATGGTTTCAATATGAAAAACATGATGATGTATATCCTTAAAATTTAGTAGATTTCGATTTGATCTACTAGAATATAAACTGTTATGTATTAATCATTTTGTTCTTTTGTGTAATGAAGTGCAAGCTTTTCTAAAGCCTTCAATTAGCTTTGACATATCAATTATTATATGAACATTAGCTTTATTTAATTTTAATTGAGAAAAATAATTCTTATTTTTCAAGATGGTATGTGTTGTATCATTATCAACAAGACATAGGTCTCCATCATTGATCTTAACATCTTTCAAAGTCTATTTGATTTTAAAATAAAGACAAATGAAATGGAAGAGATATATATTCAGTATATATATTCTAGAATGATTTGTTCTTTTATTGAATATAAAAAAAAACATTACATGTAAAAAAGAAAAATAATCACTTAAGGCAAATGATTTAAGAGGATACAATAAGTCAAACTATTGTTAGGTGTACCCATAAACAACATCAGTAAACTTTTCAATATTTTCAAAAAAATCTACAACATCAAGGTATAGATCAAGATTCATATTGTTATATTCAATGAAATTCATTTTTGAATACTTTCCCCTTCCCTTTTCATTAAGTGAGATTTGGTAAAAATTAACCAACTGCTTATTAATGCAACAAGTATACTTCTAATGTCCAATCATTCCACGTTGGCAATAAACACTTTTAGAATCTCTTACAAGGTATTTTTATAAATTTCTACCCCTTATATTCTTTTATTCAGTAAATTCATATTTAGAGGTAGAACCAATACGATACCAAGTGTTTTTTTTACCACGGCAATGCCTTTAGCCACAATTATTGCCACGACCACGGTCATAGTGATGGCCATGACCACGGCTATAGTGATAGCAATAACCATGCCCATTATTCTCATATAAGGTTACATTCACCTCAAGTAATGAATTAAATCAATGGGTTGTAACTGATGACTTTTTTTTATCAAAAATTCATTATTTTGCTCAGTAACAAAAAGATATGATATCAAATCTAAATATCTTTTAAAACCACACTCTTGATATTATTACTAGAGAGCAAATTTGAGGCATGAAAGTGGAGAATGTTTTCAACAACATGCATTCATTAGTAATTCATTAGTAATATTTTCTTCACTAATTTTAATTAAAATGAAATGTGAAATACTACGGAGTTTGTACTCACTAACAGACTTAAAATCTTGCAATCATAGATGTATCCATTCATAACGAGCTTTTGACAGTATAACTGATTTTTGGTAATCATATATTTCGTTCAAATTCTGACATAATTCAAATGAATCCTTGATTGTTAAATATTCAACCTTCAATCTCTCATAGAGATGATGGTGAAGAAATATCAACACTTTAGCGCAATCTTGTAAGGATGCTTGATTTCTTTCAACAACTATTTCCCTAAGATTATTGGCAATCAAATAGATTTCAACATCAAGTCTCCATAGTAAATAATTTGAGCCCATTATATCAAGGGCCACAAATTTAAGTTTTGTCAAGTTTAACATTGTGGCTGCAAATATTCGACAAATATTGAAATAAAATTGAAACTAAAAAACCAAAAGATTACCTTAAGACCTTACCACAAATTGAATAGTGGAAATGAAATGCTAATAACCTCTTATGAAATAAGTGAAAATTGAGTAGGAGAAAAATAAGATAAGAACATGAGAAGAGAAGAGAGAAAGTATGATAAATAGTAATGCTTTCTATTCTTCCATCTCCATTTCCATTTCCAATTTCAGTTCCAATTCAAGTTCTTCATACAATACAAGCCTATATATAGGGTAAGGGAAAATGAATGTTACATTAATTCAATAGATGAATCTAATTAGATTCAAGAATAGAACTTAATTAGAACATTGAACAAAACTAAATAGTTCCTTGAATATGGTAGTTCCATGAATAAAATTGTCCATGAATTTGATGGTTCCATAAATGTGATTAATAGAACTCTAAATGAAATTAAGTGAATATCTAAGTTGAGAGATACTAGGTGGGATGTATAAGGTAAAATCTCCATTTATTTGTATGATTCATAATAAAATGATGACTCTTATAATTATTTGAAAATTCAACACTACATGAATTTAAATTAAATGTATTGATGAGTAATGATTCATTTATATATAATTTTATACATCATATTTATATAAAATCTTAACCATTTATTTTTTTATTTGCAATGTTTAAAATTTATTCACATTTGTTAAATACAATTATCATAATAAATCTCGATCATTAAAATAAAAAGATAAATAATTAAAATTTTATTTCTTAATCTTTATTTTTTTTTTTTTTTTTAAATTATTTTTTTTTTTAAAAAAAAAGATAATTTAAAATTCTATTACAACAAATAAAACTTTTAACATTTACCAAGAATTTGACGCAGCTTAATCAAAGACTGGACAACCAAAGCCGCAGGCGCAAATCCTAGTCTTCATTGATTTATTGATTTATTAATAAGATAATATCAGTTTGAAAATTGAACTGCCACGTATCAACTTGAATCTAAATTAAAGCTTACTGTAACAAAACCTCTTTTAAAGTTAGACAGAAAAGGGGGAGGGAAAGGGAATGAAAAATGAATGCCGGATGAATGCCCAAGGAATTGATCGGGTTAGGAGAGGAATAGGGACTTCAATAGCCTGTTCACCGACCTATGTTGAAGATGCAGAGAAAGAGAGAAAGGAGGAGGGGGAGTTATCTTTGTGGCCATTGGAGGTGGGTAAGGCCACTTCTCGGAGAGCCAAGGCATGGGTATGTATTTTTCTGGTAATTAGTTGTTGAATCGTTTAATTAATGGTTCACGGTTGCAATTCGTTTTTCGTGGGTTTATTTTGAATGAATGACTGAGATATTGGATTCCCAATTTGATATGATCTCCTTTAATCAGTAGGATCGATGTTGTTTCTTCAGTTTGTTAAGGAGTTAACAGTTGAAATTTTAAGTGGTTAGAGATAGGTTTTTATTTATTTATTTAGAATAGCAAATGAAGAAGAAAAGATTATATGTTTGATTATCTAAGCAAACCACCTGCTAACTGTGAAAAAGTACTTAAAGGAATCCATAAAATGAGGTCTTCAGAAATTGAACCTGTGGACAGACCTTCTTCCTCTAAAGGTACAAAATCCTTCATTATCTAATAGTTAGAAATAATAAATGGACATGATAATTTAACTTATATTGTTACCTTGAACTGCTAATGGCAGTCTTCATAATTGTTGGGAATATATTAAACTGCTCTACGCATTTAAATTTAAAGAAAACAAACATATGGTTGTACAAGTTGAGAGTTGTCCTCTCGAAAAAAATTACTATTATTAGATGGTCAGTTTTTAATTAGTGAATATTCATTGCGATTTAAGGTTCTAATCCTACATTTTAATTGATGATGCATGATCTCTTTATGGTTGTCTTTTTCATTTACAAATTATAGTTGATAGCTTAACTTTCTCCATTTTTATATCTCCTTCTTTGGTACTACACGGTGCTTTAATTTTGGCAATAGCAAAAGTTAGCATGGTGGTGGGAACAAGAAGCGGATGCCAAGGAAGGCATCACTAGATGGTGACTATGCAATTAGTTGTCACTCCATCTTTTGTTTCATTATTTAAGAGAGATTCTCATGCTCTCATGCTCTTAGGCTAAAAATAATCCCTAGCTCTAGTTTTCTTTTATGTCTGTTTCTTTCTTTTTATTTTTTTGGTAGCATGTTAAATTGCTGTTTGATGTTTCTTTCTTAAATTTTGCTAGCCACAGGTCAGGAATTAGGTTGGCTCCCAGAATCTTTTTCTGGTAGTTTCTCTTTATTGTGTTTAGGTTTTTTTTAAAACTTTTGGCATACCCCTGCCTTGAATATATTGCCTGTCCAATTCTGCAACTTTTTTAATCACTATATTGCGTTGAATAGTGTTTAGAGACTGCAGTTGAAGGGATCTTAAATAGTGGATACCTATCTTTCTAATTGTCAACTTTGGAATCTTACAAATACATGTAGTAAGGCACTTTTCACCATTTCAAAAATCAATTTTCTTTCTTTTCTTTTTTTGCTTTCTCTTCCATATACACTAAAATCAATACAATTTTTTATTAAGAAAAAAATTAACCTTTTTCATAAGTAGTATTCCTTATCAGGACCTTAGAGGTGATTCTGTATCGGAGATCTCTAGGAAGATGGCCTTTCCTCTTCATTTTGTCAGTTGCCAACATAGAGGGATGAGTTAATGAAGTGGAGAAAGTCTTTATTTCCCTCATTTTTTTAAGCAAAGATTAAATATCAGTGTTGTCAATAGCAACCACAATGGGCTGGATAATACTGTTGCACATATGGATTCATACAAGGTAATGTATATGTATTGATCCATGGAATCATGTTATATCATGTGGTGGAATTTTTTTTTTAATAGATATCACATTATTTTTATATTTTTGTTAACCATCTAACTTTTGGTGAAATAGATGCTTCATAGTGATGCACAACAAATCATATGAAATAGAAGCCTAAACAACAGTTTTCAGTTTCCTAAATTTGTTATTGCAGCTGCCTAAGTGATGATTTTCCTTCCAGTAGAGATTAAGTTTTACATTTTTATGTTCTTATGTAATAGTAAGTCTTGAGCTAATCTTAATTTATTTCATTTGCAAATAGCCAAGTTATGCCTTAGAATTGGGCTTGGGATAATTGTGCTGTATGCAGTGTCATTAAAATGTAGAATCATGGGTAAGTCTAAAGTTCCTTTCTTCTTGGTATTTCACTGCAGTGGAAAATTAGGATTTGATCTGTTTCTTTGAAATTGGAGTTAATTGATGACTTCCATGTTTTGCTGGTTTTTTTTTTTTTTTTGGTGTGTGTGTACTCTTACTTTGAGCATTTGTTAAAATTTCAAATTTTCAGCGATAAGCAGTCCTTTTTCTTTTTGAAAATTGTCATTTGTTTGTTTTATTACACTGCCTTGCTATGTTGCAAAGATTTATATTAGTATTTTTGGCTTTTGGGATTCTATAGTAAAGTGGGTCACTTGATGATTTTCCTTGTGTTTTTTCAACATGATTGTAGGAGGTGAATTTGTATTTTGCGGGTTTGTTAGTATTGAACTTGGCTATTTGCAAACAATATAAATCAAGATTAGCTCAAGACTTTCTATTACATAAAAACATAAAAAACAAAATCCTATATTGCAAGATCAAATGACTAGCAAACAAAAATTCATTTATCAAGCCAAGCAAATGGTGCAAAGAAGCTGGAGTTCAGCAAAAGCATTTGCAGTTATGGGATTTCTCTGCTGTTGAGTTTGTCATTGAGAAGGTATTGCAAGGAAAAACCACAAATACATGTAACATATATGTCAATATGTTATTTTAATTTCTCATATCGGGTTTCATGTTGAATGATTGTTTCTCAAATCATGTGCAAAAAATGACATGACAAATACGGTTGCTAGATTGGAGGTACAATGTTAGCAAGAGGTAATTCAACGCTTGTTAGATGACAGTTGTGAGTAGATAGAACTTACTTTAATATCTTAATACTTGCTCATATTTCAATTGATAGATCAATGGAATATTTTAGATGTCTAAAATGCAATTCAAGTTAATTATAATCTATCTTCAATGAACCTCTCTTCCAAATCAGGTTTCTCTTTTCACCCTTTCTAGTTGGTGTAGAAAATAGATTAACAAGAAGTGGGAAGATCAGTGAAAATTTTGACCAACTAATGGTTTGTTTATTTTCATTTGGCTGATATTCTTTCTTTCTTTATTATTATATTTTTGAAATGTTGCAGGCAAGAAATTTTTTCCAACAGCTTAGTTCAGGTGTTAGCTACTGACACACTATGGTGAAGAAAGTTAAATTTTTAATACTTTTTAGAGTTTTAGGATCTCCTTTGCTGTTTTAATAATAATTTTCCCCTATAGCAATAGAAGCTTGATGGTGGTTGAGAATGATCTTATCTCCTTCGTCAAAATCTCAGATGGTCCCTTTTAAGTTATGATTGACCTAATGCTCTCTACAGGTAAATGCCATTGTCATTTTGAGTAGTATGGAAATCTACAGGGATCAGTCTGTATCTTGGTAAGTTATTTTACATCTTATTGTTTTTATGTATTGTAACAATTAGTATGTTGTTTGTGTGAATTGTTATTCATTGGTTTTTTCTTAAATATTGTCACGATAATCAATTTAAACATCCCTGTGTTTGGATTTAAGTTTTATGTTCCCAATTTTTGAGATTATTTGTGTTGTTTTGGTTCAATTAAAGTTCTAGATTTTGCTCATTCATCAGTTTTGAATTTTTAATTAGGGGGTTTTACTCTCATATTATCTCTGTATAGAGTTATGAATTGTACAATGAAAGTCTCCAATAGTGTAAGGACAGGTCCGAGGTGTCAAGACTCGGACTGTTACAATAATCCCTTTATGACCGAAGTGAAGAATGAATCCAAAGCTCCCCGCTCAAATAGCTGTATGATAACAACAATAAGCATGCCCGCACCTGATTCTTTATGATGAGTGGCACAGCAGATATGGTGGACGCTCGTGCACCTGAATACCTCTCAAATTCCTGGTCCCGGAATAATCGTTTGGATAGACATGTCAGGCTCCGATTATCTTGCTTGGCATGCCACATGGGTTCCTCATTGGATCCTATAAATACCCCCCCGGGCCACGTCAAAAAGGTAATTGAAACCAACCCTAAGCTCTTTTTTATCTCTGCCTTAAAGGTAGCCCCGATTATTGCTGATTTAAGTATCGGAGTGTCTACCCCGAGTTCCACCTCGGGGCTTTGCAGGTCACTTCGGAGTACAAGCGCGGACTGAAGAAGGACTTCGGGTTTGGTGCAATTACATTAGCGCCGTCTGTGGGAAACAAACTGAAAGCTTTCTAGTTGCTCTTCCATCATGGTTCACACTCGATCAGTCCGAGCTGGCAATTCATCTCTGCCTCATGGGCAAGGTCAACCACACAACAACCTTCCACCTCCGATCCCACCTCAAGCCCTACCTCAGCTTCCACCTCAGGTCCCAACTATATTCCCTCTTGTTGATCATGCAGAAGGAGGAGATGAAAACCAACCTCATGCCTCAGCTCACAATTCTACTTCCACTGCCAACCAAGACGTGGTGACAGCTCAGCTTGCTGCCATGCAGCAGCAGTTTGGTGTTTTTCAGTTAGTATTAGTTCAGCTTCTAGTTAGAAATAATCCTAGTGATCCCCTCATTAATTTATTAAACCCCGCTCAACAACCCCCAATTCCACAACAAAACCCCCAACCGATTCAACCTACTCCTGCTGTTAGTGAATCCCAAGGTCAATCCCACATAGCACCTGCTCAGCAACCCATCCCAGATGATGTCACCCGACGTCTCGATAGCTTGGAAAAGCTAGTAGCTGAACACCGAGGTGCTCCACCCCCACACCATGCTGCTGATTCTATACCTCACCCTCTGAATACCAACATCACACTGGAACCCTATCCTACTGGCTTCAAAATACCACAACTGGAAACTTATGATGGGACGAAGGATCCGATGATCACCTGCATGCTTTCTACTCTTGCATGCAAGCTCAGAACGCCTCTGACGCGCTGATGTGCAAAATCTTCCCCTCTACTCTACGAGGTAATGCTCGAACTTGGTATTATAGTCTACCCCCGAGGTCAATTAGCTCTTACACAGAGATGGCATTTGCATTTGCCACTAAGTTTTCCAGTAGAAGGTTGATTAGGAAAACTACCACTGAATTGATGCGAGTTAAACAGAGGGACGAAGAGTCTCTAAAGAACTACATGAGCAGGTTCAATGATGCGGTGTTGGAGGTTAGTTCCTTCGACCAAGCTGTGGGTATTGCAGCTGTAATTTCTGGTCTCAAGCATGATAGGTTCAGAGATAGTTTGATCAAACATGCTGCCACCACCTTCAGCGAGGTGAATGATAGGTCTCTCAAATTTATAACTGCTGAGGAATACGCCTTGGCACAAAACCCACATTCCTCTAAGAACCAGAACCCAGAATGGAGAGATGACAATCCGAGCCGGAAAAGGATGAGGATGGCGCAGAACCGAGGTCCGATGTTGACCTCCCCAACGAGATTCGGAAGGATGAACTCAACTCCCCCGCAACAACCTACAGGTAAACTTCCAATTAATTGGACTCCCTTTAATCTGCCGAGGTCACAAATTTTTATGCAGATAAAAAATAAGATGGACTTGAGACGTCCTGACCCAATGCGAACTGCTGCTGCTAGTCGAGACCATACCAGATATTGTGATTTTCACCAAGATCACGGCCATACTATAGAGCAGTGTAACAGTCTAAAGTCCGAGCTGGAAAATTTAACTTAGAAGGGAATGCTGAATGAGTATGGACAACGAGCTGAACAGCCAAGATTTGTTAGAGAACAGAGGCCGCAGCCTCAAGGAGCCCGCAATCCCCCAAATAGGCAAGGTGTGGGATATCAACAAACCCCACTTCCACTCCCACCACCTGCTAGAATCATACATATGATTACGGGAGGCCTTGAAGCAGGTGGACTGAGCTCTAAGCAGCGAAAGCTGTATGTCAAGGAGGTTAAACATCAAAATCGAGCTCAGAAGCGGAAGATTGACGATGCTGAATGGAAGAATCAACCAATTACTTTCACATCTGCTGATCTTGATACAGTTGTTACACCCCACAATGATCCTTTGGTCACTTCTGTCATGATTAACAACTGTGAAGTACAACGTGTCCTTGTTGACACCGGGAGTGCACCAGACATAATGTATTTCCACTGTTTCAAGAGTCTGGGATTAGATCCAGCTCTGTTACAGAAGTATAATGGTCCTATCTATGGTTTCAACAACCAGCCTGTTTCAGTAGAAGGAGTTCTTACTCTCCATGTGGCTTTTGGAAGTGGCAGAACCTATGTAACCCCGTCGGTCCGGTTCCTAGTCGTCAAAATGGCGTCCTCTTTCAACATTGTTATTGGTCGACCCACATTGACCGAAATCCGAGCTGTGGTTTCCCAATCTCACCTCTGCATAAAATTCCCCACTCCTATGGGAATAACAACATTGCGAGGAAACCAGGAGGTGGCCAGACACTGTTATATCACCTCGGTAACACAACCCATGAAGGACAAAGCTCAGACTCCCGAAACCATTCCCCAGCAAATTTCTGATAATCAGCAAGTTATGGGTGTTGAGATCGTAGATAATCGACCAGAAGATGAAACCAAAGCTGCTCCGGTCGAAGATGTTGAAGAAGTGCTCGTTGATGACAGAGATTCGAGCCGAAAAACGCAGATCGGAACTAGATTGAACCCGGAGGAGAGAGCAGAACTGATAGCTTTTCTCCGAGCTAACAATGATGTATTTGCGTGGGCTTCGGCAGATATGCCAGGAATTCCAACTTCAGTATGTCAACATAAGCTCAGTACCAACCCGTTGAAGAAACCAGTAGCCCAGAAGCGGCGTCTCTTCGGGGGGGAGAGGCTTCAAGCTGTTAAAGAAGAGGTAGAGAAACTCCTACAAGCTGGTTTTGTCCGGAAAGTTGATTACTGTGAATGGTTGGCTAACCCAGTTCTAGTGAAGAAGGCCAATGGCAAATGGCGAATGTGTATTGATTACACAAATCTCAACAACACCTTAGGCTTCAGGCTGTTAAAGAAGAGGTAGAGAAACTCCTACAAGCTGGTTTTGTCCGAAAAGTTGATTACTGTGAATGGGTGGCTAACCCAGTTCTGGTGAAAAAGGCCAATGGCAAATGGTGAATGTGTATTGATTACACAAATCTTAACAACGCCTGCCCCAAGGATTGCTATCCAATGTCAAGCATTGACAAACTAGTTGAAGCGGCTTCAGGCAATGAGAGGTTGAGCCTCTTGAACGCATACTTGGGGTATCACCAGGTGCCAATGGCTCTAGAAGACAAAGAGAAAACCGCGTTCTATGCTGGTGATGAAATTTATTGTTATGTCATGATGCCGTTTTGCTTGAAGAATGCAGGTGCTACTTATCAGAAAATGGTGACCATTGTCTTCCACGCTCAGATTGGCAAAAATCTGGAAGTATATGTCGATGACATTGTGGTAAAAAGCCTCAAAGCAGAAGACCATCTCGCCGACCTCGACGAAACCTTTAACAACCTCAGAAAGAACAGGATGCGGTTAAATCCAGCCAAGTGCATTTTCGGAGTGGAGTCCGGTAAATTTCTAGGTTTCATGGTGTCCCGAAGAGAGATTGAGGTCAATCCAGAAAAGATCAGAGCAATTGCCGAGATGGAACCGCCGAAGTCAATTAAAGATATACAGAGGTTAACTGGAAGGGTGGCAGCTCTGCATCGATTTATCTCCAG